AAAAGAACGAGAGAGAGAGAGAGAGAGAGAGAGAGAGAGAAAGGGAGAGAAAGAGAGACAGAGAGAGAGAGAGAGAGAGAGAGAGAGAGGGAAGAAGTCAGAGAAAGCTAGAAGAAGAAAGAGACAAGGAGACAGAGAGAGGGGGAGAGAGGCAAAAAGACTAAAAAAGAAAGAAAAAGAGACAGACAGAGAAAGATAAAGAAAGAATAGAATAGAATAAGAGAGTTGGAAGGGACCTTGGAGGTCTTCTAGTCCAACCCCCTCCCTAGGCAGGAAACCCTACACCACTTCAGACAAATGGAAGAGAGAGAGAGAGAGAGGGAAGGAGGGAGGGAGGGAGGAGAGAGAGAGAGAGAGAGACCCCCCGGTTAGCCTCTGCTGTGTCCCAACCTGTCACATCGTCCCTCAAAGACCTCAGAAGGAATGCGGGTGGAGTCCTCACAGCCCAGGCCGCCCACTGCAAGCGATTGGGTTGTGTGTCCCTACAACACCTTAACGCCAAAGCTGTCGCTGTCACACAACTGCTTCCTCTCTTAAGATTTTCCCCTGGGTGTGAACGCTCGTCTGTTTCGGTTCGGGGCAAGGCAGAGCTGCCCCCTTGCCCCCCTACTCAATTGGCAACCCTGCACCCCGATTAAGAACAGGGATGAGAATAAAACGGGCAGAAATCTTGGGACGGGAAGGATAAACTATCAGTGTCAGCTGCATACAAAGAGAATCCGTAGAACAATGTTTTATAGGTGGCATTTTCCAGCTGGCAAAGACGTTTTAAGGACATGTCTGTTAAGTCTTGGAAATGTAATCAGAGGCCAGGTCCCTACTATCACCTGCGGTGGCCATGTCCAAAGGGGAAAAAAATATTGGACAAAAATGCAACTATGATTGGGGAAAAGATAGTCTAAAGCCAGAAATATTTTTGTTGGGTATCTTAACCAGAAAAGTTATAATAAAAGGAATACATATTTAAGTTTACACGTATCTAGAATTGTGTTTGCACAACCATGAACAGATGAAAACGTTATTAAAATATAAATATATTACAATGTGCAGAAATGGATAGACTTAACGTTCAAAATTAAGCAGATGGAAGGAACCGAACACTGATTTTTAAACATTGATTTGTTTGAATTTGATCAATGGCAGAAACAGAAGTTAGAAACTTAAGCGCATAAGAAAATGATTAACGACATTGAAGATTTACTAAAATGGATAAGCAAATAATATGTGATTATTATTTGCATTATGGATATTATTGTTACTGTTTGTCCAAAACAATTATTCAGACAACACAAGTTTATATAGACATTTAATTTTTAATAATATTTAAAAAAAAAACAAAACCCAAGGATGGGAAACCACCAGGAGATAAATTCGATCCGGAAGTTGAAAATTATCCTAGAAAAACAGGAAACTATGGTTATATTGCTAGCAAGCTAGTTGAATCTGCAGTTGGCAATAATCTTGATCTATTCCTTTCCGGTTAGCGGTGGCTCAGTGGCTAAGATGCTGAGCTTGTTGATCAGAAAGGTCGGCCGGTCGACGGTTCGAATCCCTAGTGCCGCATAATGGAGGGAGCTCCCTTGACTTGTCCCAGCTTCTGCCAACCTAGCAGTTCAAAAGCACGTAAAAAATGCAAGTAGAAAAAATAGGAACCACCAATTTTGGTGGGAAGGAAACAGCGTTCCGTGCGGCTTCGGGAGTTGAGTCATGCCGGCCACAGGACCACGGAGACGTCTTCGGACAACGCTAGCTTTGAAACGGAGATGAGCAGCGCCCCCTAGAGTTGAGAACGACTAGCACTTATGTGCGAGGGGAACCTTTACCTTACTGGCCATACTTATAGAGTAGAAAATTAATATTTTAAATTATTTTGTGGTGTCACTCTGGCTTCCCAAACGATCCCTTCGGCATTTAACTCGCCGTTT